CTACCACAAGGCTCAGTTCTGGGTTTGGGTCTGGTACTCGTCAACATTTTCATTAATGACTTGGATGAGGGGGTGCAGAGAATGCTTATCAGATTTGTGGATTACACAAAATTGGGTGGAACAGCTAATACCCTGGAAGACAGAAACAAAATTAGCCGCCCCGAGTGGATGTTGTCTAGAGGGGCGGGGTAGAAATCAAATAAATAAATAAATAAATAAATAAATAAAATTCAAAAAGATTTTAACAGGCTTGAGCACTGGGCTGGAAAAAACAGAATGACATTTAACAGGGATAAGTGCAAAGTCCTACATCTAGGGAAAAAGCACCAAACACTCAATTATGAGGTGGAGGATAATTGGCCCAGTAGTGCTTTGAGTGAGAAGGATCTTGGAAGAGTTGTATAAGCTGAACAGGAGCCAATTGTGTGATGTGGCTGCAAAAAAGGCCATTGCTATTTTAGGCTACATTAATAGAAGTATATCCTCCAAATCCTATAAAGTACTAGTTCGTCTGTATTTGGCCCTGGTTAGGTTTCATCTTGACTACTGTGTCCAGTTTTGGGCATCAAACTTTAAGAAGGATTCTGGCAAACTAGACCAGTTTCAAAGAAGAGCAACAACGATGATCAGGAGACTGGAAACCAAGCCCCATGAAGAAAGACTGAAAGAACTGGTCATGCTAAGGCTTTAGAAAGAAGATTTGGGGGAGATATGATAGCACTTTTCAACTAACTGAATTATAATCATATAGGGGAGGAACAGGATCTGTTCTCGATCATCCCAAAGTGCAGGACACGTAATAATGGGCTCAAGCCGCAGGAAGTTAGATTTTGGATTAATATCAAGGAAAACCTTTTAATTATTAGAGCAGTATGACAATGGAATGAATTACCTTGGGAGGTAGTGAGCACTCCAATGCTGGAGCCATCTGCCAGATCTGCTTTGATTTGCATTGAGCAAGGGGTTGGAGTTGATGGGTTTATAGGCCCCTTCCAATTCATTTATTCTGTGATGTTATGAATATACTATTGTTGTTCTTAAAATGATTTAAGTAAAGTAATAAGTTCCTTTTAATTACTTAATAATAAGTTCATTTTAATTACTTGATTATAAGTTTCTTTTAATTATAAGTAATTTTAATTACTTAATTATAAGTAGTGCATAATAAGTATACACTATTTCAAGCAGGGTATACCATGAACTCAAGATTTTAGTCAAATCATGCAATTAGAACTCTTTTAAAAACACCTTCAATAACAATTAACAGTACAAGTTGTGAGTTACCTACAAACAGCTTCTTCCAAGTTCTCACTCTTTTGTTACTGCTGTTTTTTTTGTTAGTGTGAGAAAAAGTTTCTCTTTCCAGTGATAGCTGCTGATGGATCTCTTTGAAGATTACATCTGCTTGTGCTCAAATCAACGATCTGTGAAATGCATCTTGACAAAATAACATCAGTAACTGAAGGAAGATAGTGGCGCTGACAATATTTTCACATTATTATCTCACCTTTTACCTTTGGTTTTTGAGCTCTGAAAATGTTCAGCTGATGCGTCTATCTTGCATGTGTCAAATGGACTGCGTATTTGGTTCACTGAAAGGACCAGCACATGCTGTAGTTTTACAGCATAATGTTATCAGTTGTTTTTGTTGTAGCCTTCCCTATTGATGGAGAACTTCCTTAGGACTTTCTGTTTATTTTAGGTATAAATATGAATTACATTTCTATAGCACAGCTTAAAGCAATCACCATTTTGAAATGCCTTTACAGAGCAGTGCTAAAACACTAGCCTCACTTTTTTCATTACGTTCTTGAAATGTTTTTAATGTTTTTAAAATTAATTTACTATGTTCATATCCCACCTTTCTTCATCTTTCTTTAAACTTAGGTATGTATGAGATTTAGAAAAGTGCTTCCACTCCTTGCCTCAGCAGGGCTAGTCGTGCCATTAGACAAAGTACAGTGGGGTCTTGACTTGAGAACTTAATCCGTATTGGAAGGCGGTTCTCAAGTCAAAAAGTTCGCAGGTCAAATCTGCATTTCCCATAGGAATGCATTGAAAACCATTTGATCCGTATCTGCTCTTTTCCGTCCATAGAAACTAATGGGAAGCTGCTATTCCGCCTTCGACCACTAGAGGGGGATATTTTGTTTCTTTTTTTCTTAGGTCAAGAAAGGTTCAGGGAAGGCAGGAAAAATACAGTCCAGGCAGGACAGTACCAGGCAGTCCGAAGACTGTCTCCCAATCTACTCTCTAAATGCTGGGAGGAGTGAGGAAGCAGACAGGCACCCTTTTCGCTGGCCAACAGTTAACTGAAAGTTCAAATATTGCACTTTCCCTGCCTCCCACATGTTTTTTTTCCAGTTCTTAACTCAAATCTAAGTATGTAAGTCAAGTCAATATTTTCCTATGAGAGTGGTTCTTAAGTCAAAATGTTCTTAATTCAAGCCGTTCTTAAGTCAAGACCCCACTGTAAAGCCGCCACCTCAGCACGCCATGACGGTCATGAAAGTGAAGGCAAGAAGCACTCATGGGATTTTCTGCCACAAGTCCCAAAATAACTTGACTTTGGATACTCTGACTTGGCTTAACCTTGACTGGGGTGGGTTATGGGAGTGCCATTTGTTGTTATTCCTCAGGCAGCTAAATTGCTTGGACTGGACCTGTATCAGAGCTAAATTTGCTTAGCTTTAGCAAGGGATACATCATGTGTCCTCAGAGTCAGACCATGTTCTGGAAACCTTTTGGCTTAGTCCCTGTGCAAAATGACATAGGAGAGCAATACATATATCCTGCATTTGTGGGGTGGAGCAAAGGAAAAAAGTGGTGAACAGTGCAGAATTCAGAGGTGACATCCTAGGGCACTCAATTTTAACCCAACACCATTCAGACTACAACCACCCTCAGACATATCCAACTGGCTAAAGATGACAGGACCTTTAGTGCAATACATCTGTAAGGTACCAAGTTGTGGAGGAGCATACTGTATCCAAAAAGGCTAAATCCTGTGCTTGAAATAACATCACACCTTAGACCATCTTTGTAAAGGGCTCTGGGAAGTATTGTAGTTTGACATCAAAACTGAGGATTGCAAAACAGGTGTCTGCTCTGAGCCATATTTCGCAGGATGGTTGGCAGAGCACTCTGCAGCAGTGGGAACCTGATAACACGGAAAAGCCTTACTGAAGAGGCCTCACCTAATGGCAGTATGCGCTCTATGGAGGCAGCCTCTGACAGAACTCATTCCCCCATGCACCTTTGTGAGTCACAGGGAATCAGCCTAACTCCCATGCTGCAGAGGGGCACTTTCCGAAATGAAGAAGTGACACAGGGACACTATGGAGGTAAAGAGGGCTGATTTACCTCCTGCTGGTTTGAGTGCTCCTGACCTAGACACATAATTCGCCCTGGGGGTTCCTCCTACCTACATGCCTGGTAGTCCTTGAATTCTGAAAATCCCATCCCTACTCAATAACATAAAAGTTGGGCCAGGGCAAACATTGAGATGGGCTCTACCTTGATGCTGTCCCTGAAAATGCTCTTAGAAACTCAGGGTGGACTGGGCGCTTCTCATGGCAATGGGATTTACTGTATTTTTGAGAAAGCATGCATAGGGCTGCATCTGAAGTTGGCTTCAGCTCAGAAAAAAAGCATGTGCCAAACAAAAACCTGTCGAAGATGCCATAGGGTTTTGCTTTGCTGCAACCCATTGATAGATTCACACCATGCATAGAGCCTTTTTTTGTTGTTCTGCTGTGCACAAAAACAGCACAACTCTGATTTCCCTTTCTTACTCGCCTTCCCTATGACAAACATCTGTGTGTCACCTTGAGTCTATGGGCATCTCTACAGATTTTAAGTAGTCCTTGGCTCCCGCCTTATTCTTGGGAAGCCCAGAAACGGGATTTCTGTAAGGTCTGAGACACACGCCTATAAAGTGAGAGAAACGACTGAGACGTAACATTTCATCACGCCTCCTTCTTTGACGAAGTGGACTAATCTGTGTCATAATAAGGCTGCAATCTTAGCGGCGGTTAAGTCTCCTTAAACTTGGGAAGCTTATTTCTGAGTAAACAAGCTGAAGAGTAGAGAATGCCACAGGGCATTTGGAAGCGTTTCCTGCAACGGATTAATACTCGTCGCCTTTCTCTTCGAAATGCACAGGATCAGACCCGCCAGCCAAAGAAACCTCTACCTCCTAAAACACCTTATCTGTCCTAAAGGTAAACGGAGGCCTTTCGTACTTTCCTATTGGTTGCCGATGATGTCATACAGCATAATATACGGGGTTTTTTTTCCGCCCACTACCCCCTCTTTCCCGTTCTTGGTAAGTACTTGAGAGAAGGCTGCTCCAATAATTAGCCAATCACAGGGCAGAGAGCTTAGTCTCTTTTTCGGGGAGGGGGGACGAGTGGTGAGAGCTAGGAGCTCACTGCTTTTTAAGCACCGCCCTCGTCCTCTTTTATCCTCCCCCCACTTCCCTTAGTTCCTACCAATCGACGTACAAGAGTGACGCCTGCGTCCTTGGCAATTTGAGAATCTAAGGATGAAGGACGCGGAAGTTGGCGAAGATTGGCAACTTTCTTAACCAATGCTAGGGACAGGGCCGGAGATGGGGATAAGAGGAAGTCTATGCCTGGTAAAAGAAAAAAAAGGAGGGAATAAAGAGGAGGGGAGAAATAAAGTGACATCGAATTCGACCAATTAGGTTCTAAGCTGCATAGCTGCTTTTTTTAAAAAAAATGCGCAGAGGTGAGGAAGGAAACCAGGGTACGTTGGAGTGACAGTTTTATCGACCAATAGAAGTGAAATGTGCATCCAACGGACATTGAGGGGAAACAAGGTGTTCTGTAAGTGGCAAGTAAAAGAGCCAATTGTAACTTAAGAAGCAAGACACTGACAGATAGGGAAGCCAATGGGAAAAATAATTAGGGAGCGAAGCTTTGAATGACTAAGATATTGACCAATGGTTGAAGGCCTTCTTTTTTATGCCGGTAAGACTCGATCTTTAGAGGTTCGAGGAGGGAGGGGGCTATCTTGCCCTCCTCCCACCCGGTGCATTCTGACGTTGCGCGGCAGGGAAGGAGGGAGGGCCCAGTAGCGGCCGCTGGGACGGGGGCTCCCAACATGTCCGTGCTGTTAGCTGCGCTCGGACTGCGAGAGCCGAGGACCGCGAAGGGAAAGGCCGCTGTGTGAGAAGGGGAAGGAGAAGCGGCGGCCGCGGCGGCTCCTTCAGCTTTAGCCTCACCAGGCCCGGCTCCTCAGTGGGGGCTGCCTATCCTGCCTGCCCGGGCACGGGTCTTCTACGCGAGCGAGGGAGTCCTACGGCGCCAGGTACGGGCTCGGGCCGCCTTTTCCGCCTGAGGAAAAGCGCGAGGCGGGGGTTGGGGTGGAGGTGGGGGTGGAGAGGCTGGCGGTGAGGAGGGAGAAGGAGGCCTCCTCAGGCAGGAGGCCTCGAGTGCCTTGAAGGGAGATTTAAGGTGAGGGGAGAAGAGGGCGGGCTGGGTTTGGGCCTGTATTGGCGTTTCGGGCAACGGCGGCGGGGGCTTCGACTTGCTGCGTAGTTTGAATCACCACCATCATCAGCAGGAATGGCTGGATTGGTGCCTGCGTTATAAGAGTTGGAGGGGGAGAGAGAGAGGGAGGGAGGGAAGGAGGGCGGGCGGCGCCGGCACTCTGGCGGCTGGCCGTCGAGGTGGAGGGATGGAAACGGGATGGCCGGGCCGGCTGGTCGTGGGGGGGGGGCTTTGGTCTCCTGTCTTAGGGATGATTGCATGGAGTGGAAGGAGGGCCTGCGCTTTGCGGGGGCCTTGGCGTGAGAGATCTGGATGTGGGATGGGCGGTTGAAAGGCAGTCCTAAGGCGGGGGTGGAAAGGAGATTGAGAGGGTAGCAGGAGAATGGGGAGGACAGTAATTATCCGGGTTACTGACGCGGAGGGAGGTCTGACCCGAGGGATGTTTTTTGCACCCAAACACACGCACACCCCTCACCACCACCCCGAGTATTGGGGGCCGGATGTTTTGTCCTTGGCCGCGATCCAAAACTTCTGTGTTGTTTTTTAAGTCTGGCGCTCCCCGTTGTTCTTTTTTAAAGCGATCGTAATAGGTTTGTTACTATCTCAGGACGCCTGACATTTGTGGCTCCTTTGCTGATAAGCTGAAATGGGCAGTTTTCGTGTCCTGTGCTTACTAGAGACTCCAGTGTTTCGTCGGAATAGAGTTCTTCCTTTAGGGCTGATACTGTAACAGTAGTAATCATCATCCTTATCGTCTTAGAACTGTGGACCCTAAGAAACTGTATGTTGAATAACGGCAGTAATGCTGATAGTGATATTGTTTGTGTCGTCTGGAAGTATATCTGGGGACACACAGGACTTCTAGGGGTTTATTGGGTCAGCCATCTCACAATATTGTTGGTATAGAAAGCTTGTACATTTGTGACAAGGGAATTTGCGTTGTGCATGCACACCTGAGTATTCAGCAGAAAAGTTTGAGGATGTAACTTTTATAGGTTAAGTTGATTGTATGCTACGATATCAGGATAGGAATGTGCTTTGTGAATCTTAGGTTTCTTTCTATGAATCTGTGTGTGTCAGCTATATGGAGTAATGAACTCCACATATATAAGAGCCCTCTTCATTTATCTAGTGAAAGTTCTTACGAGAACAAACTAGTAAGTTTCTTATGTGGCTGTTTATCTTACCCGTGTATGAATGTAAGTTTAACCAGGGACATAGGGCTGAATAAAAGCACGTCAGTGGTGAGCTCCTATTGCCAAAGAGTTGAGTCTGATTAGAATGTATTGGATTTGCTACAGGAAGGCTGAACTAAATAGGTGCAGATTATTTTTTTAAATACTGAGGGGGATCTTCATATGTAGTCTGGTTTCAATGTTGCCCTATGTAAGACCAATAATACAGTGGACCCTTGACTTACAGACGGCTTGACTTACAGACTTTTTGACTTGAGAACCGCCTTCCAATACGGATTAAGTTCTCAAGTCAAGACCCCACTGTAGAGATGGAACATCTTGTGACACATGGCTAGTTTCCTGTGATAAATTGTTACTTAACCTGTTTTCCCCCAAATAAAACCTAACCTGAAAATAAGCTCTAGTATGATTTTTCAGGATGCTCATAATATAAGCCCTACCCCCAAAATAAGCCCCAGTTAAGTGAAACCCCGCCCTCCACCATTATGCAGCAACCAGAAGAAGATGACATGACTGTAAAATAAAACATCCCCTGAAAATAAGCCCTAATGCATTTTTGGAGCAAAAATTGATATAAGACCCTGTGTTATTTTCAGGGAAACATGGTAGAGGCAAAAAGAAGCATCCTAATAGTCAGCACAAAACTTATCCTAGCATTTACAGAGAATTTGGTTGCATGGGCAGCTTTTTTTGTGTTTTTTTGTTTTTGTTTATTTATATTTTGGGGGTGGGGGAGGCCTATTATGAACTCTGGATGGACAGAGCCTCTCTGGCAACACATTCCTTTAAAACAGATGGGCAAGTATGGTCTCATCTTGGAACATTACTCCCATAATTCCTCACCACTGGTTTTGCTAGCAAAGATGGTCGAGAGTTTCAGGATGAAAATATTTGGAGGGCCCTTTTTCAAGGCACTGACTACTCATTTTACTTGCACATTTTTCTGTAGTGCTGGCAGTTGTGCCATCTCCTACTGCTTGCAGGGGGGCTCTGTTCATACCTATTATGCTATTTTTTAAAAGGGCAGGCTTTGAAATTTCTTGCCATGTGCTATTCAGTATGTGGGGAAATTGTAATTTATCACACATGATCAGCTACTGCTTAAACAGAAACCAGGAGACAAGGCATGGTTTACTTTGCCATGTTGAATTGTCTGTGCTTCCTCGGTGGTCCTATCTCTGTTAACCTGTGTTTTGGAGGCTGTACATAAGTGTCAATCTGGGGAGTGTGAAGTGGCTGGTTGTATGCAGGCAGTAATGCTTTCTACAACTTATCAGCCAAGTTTTAAGAATGGTCTCCCTATTTATCACATAGTTGAATGAAGAGGTTTTGTGGGCTGTTTACGTGTCTCAAATCTGCATTCAGATGTGCATGTACAAAAAGGTCTTTTAAACATCTAGGGAACAGATATTTGGTAATGTAACTGATTTAATTTTTCCACAGGTGGACAGAGTGATGCAGGTGATAGCTAAAGTCATTGTGCTGTTATAAAGTAATGGACATGAAAGGTCAGATCCAAACTCATCTCGGATGGTTTTGTGAAAGACTTATTTTCACAGCCTTGTCCTACCTCAGAGGGTTTTTTGTTTTGTTTTGTTTTAAACAGCTTAATCAAATATACTATGGAAATGTCCCATATAGTTTATGTGTAGTTAGGGGCTGTAGAAAATCAGTATTACATTCCTGGTGTATCTGCTACTACTTTTCCCTCAGAGTGGTATAAATATACCAGATGGGCGGGATATAAATCAAATAAATAAATAAATAAATAAATAAAAAGTCTTCTATCAGCTGAAATTGGGTGATATTACTGGGTTCATTCATATTTAAGCAGCTGCTTGCTGCAAGCTGCTTATTTCCCCCTTCACTGTCTGTCACTACCGTATTTCCCCGAAAATAAGACAGGGTCTTATATTAAATTTTACTCCAAAAACACATTAGGGCTTATTTTCAGGGGATGTTTTATTTTACAGTCATGTCATCTTCTGGTTGCTGCACAATGGCGAAGGGTGGGGTTTCACTTAACTGCGGCTTATTTTTGGGGTAGGGCTTATATTACGAGCATCCTGAAAAATCATACTAGAGCTTATTTTCAGGTTAGGTCTTATTTTTGGGGAAACAGGGTAGTACTCTGGATTCTAGTCTTAAGGGGACAGGAGAAGCAGTGCATACAGTCATTGCAGTATTGTTCCTTTCTAGAGTGAAAGCAGGACTGCAGAAATATTGTGGGCACCTCAAGTTTCTGAGGAGTGAGCAGTGACTGCAGTGGAAAGGGGAAGAAGGTACTGACATTTGTACCTGGGAAACAGCTGTTGGTAAAAGAAAAATTGTATACTCAATAATCATGTGCTGCCAAGTCAACTCACATGTGTATCATTGCACATGCTCAAAAGTCAAAAATTCACTACAGTCCCCTCCTTTTCCTTTCTGCCCATAAGGTAGAAAGTGTGTAACCCAGTTCTGTATTTCTTTAGACCACACTTCCAAGCCCTACATTCCCTTCTCAATACAGTATAGAGCTCAGAGTTCCTGGCTTTCCTTCTAATAGTCAGAGACAGACAGAAAGGATCTGTGATGGATTTTTAGTTCATCATTAGGTATGTGTGGCTACATGGTTAACTTAAAACTTCTTGGTTTTTCTTGCTGGGTTGACTACTGCAAAATTGTTGTAAAATATGTGAATGAAATACAATCATAGGTGTATGAAATGAGGAACAAAGCCTTTAGATATACAGATGCTCTACAGAAGAAACACTGCTTTCTTGTAATTCATGAGTCATGGTGCTGGTTCTTACCTGTGAAATCCTGAATAGCTTAGGCCCTATTTTAGAAATCTAACTTCTCTTCAATAAGTCCTGTGTATGTCTGTTTGTTAAACTAATAAGTACAATAATATGGATATCATGGGAGTATGTGTCCCCCCCCCCTTTGTCTACTCTCTGTATAGCACTTCATTGCTCTGGAGTTCTGCCAAAAGTCAAATACTATGATAATTTGACATTTATACACGTTTTATCTTTAAGTAGGGAGAGACTTAAAATAATTGAAAAGTCTGTGCTTTTTGCCATGAACAAGAATTTTCCCTTAAACTCCCTAAACCTCTGCTCTGGACTATAGCCTGCAATTATCTCTTCCACCTCATTTTTTTCTTTATTTAGTGGTCAGTGTTAAAGATTAAGCTATTTTAGTTCTGCTTTTGATAAATTTTATGTTAGATATGTATCGTTAAAAAGTACTGTGATTTTTCCAGATCTTTAAAGGCTATGGAAGATATTTATAGTAATCATCAATCTTACCCACTGAAAGCCAGTAAAAGCAGATGGTCAATCACTTGTAAGCATCCCTTGCTTCCTTGGCCTCTCTAGTCCTTCTTTGTCTTTTTTCTTCCTGCTAAACTTGAGTTTGCAGTCTCCTTGATGCAGAGACTTATCTCTTGTTCATATTATTCCAGAATACACAGTATACTTTAGTAGCTTACAGACAACGGTAAATTTTGCAGTGGTTTGAAAAGAAATGAGTCTGATGGAGGGAAGTTGTATAATAACTGCATGGCATGATACAAGGTAATACTGATAATGAATCTACCAGTGGACAACTTTTTTGTTGTTAATAGTAACTTCAA